TTCCTTAATCTTTGCTATAGGCAAAAACTCTTACAATTTCTCTCACCCCTCCTCTGAACCAGTTTCCTCAGGCTGGCCTTCTTGCTCTTGAAGATTGATCTATCAGCTCAACAGTGTTAGTTCTTCAATGTCCTCCTCTCCTCCACAAACTCTTCCACATCTCGCCCAATAACCTCCAACCCCAAGGAACTTTCCCAATGCCACAATGGATTCCTCAAACTGGCATAATCCTCTCAGGTTAGCCTCAAACCTTCAAAATCCTTTTGTCTACACATTCCTGGCCACATTTTCTCCAAGCAAGTTTCAATGGACTTCTTAGTCACTCCTCCCAAGCCTTACCATATAAGGTTTACACAATCGAGGAATATTAAAGTGCTCTCTCCAAACTCTCTTAAGTCAGATGAGTTTTTTCTGAGGTCACTACAAAGCACCTTTCAAACAGAAGCTTTTGTGGTACAGTATTTTTGAAGTTGCAATAACCATCTGTCCATGGGCTGCAGGAGAGGAGTGTATAGGATGCCAAAACTTCACCTTAATGAAGAGCCATGTCCCATAAAGTCCCTCTCCACGCTGTTAGAATTACCAGGGGCATTGTCTAACACCCATGCGGCACTAAAAGTTCTAATTTCTTTTCAGTTAGGTAATCTTTTCAACATTGGGGGCAAATGCATGGTGTAACCAGTTATAGAAAAAAGACCCTAGTGACCCATGCCTTACTGTTGCCCTCCACAGCACACACAAATTATCCTTGAGGACATTCTATTTGCCTGAACGCTCTGGGAGTTTCAGAGGTGATACACTAATAAGCTTAACTTGCAATCACCACTACAATGCACACATCAACAAAGTAAGCCTGTTCTTTCATAGGCTTAGGTCCCTGGGAAGTGCCCATTTACTCCTGATAATTGAAGGTCCTGCTTGGCATTTTTCTTTCCAAAACAGGCCTGTTTCATCACAATTAAAACACTTGTCAGTTTTCAGTCCTTCCACTGTCTAAGTACTCCTTCAATTCATGCACAAATTTTTATCCAGCCGCTTTGTTGGTCCCGAACTGCAGCCGCACCATGCTTATCACACTAAGTATGCCACTACACGCTTCTTAAAATCTCTCAACCACCCTTTGCTGGCTAATTTTCACTCACACATCACTAGTTGCAGGCAATTTTTTAATTAAATCCTGATGCAACTTCCTAGCCTTTTCACATATGAATCGCTTGAGAGACGCAATCTCCTGCTAGCTGTTTTTCATTTATCCATCCACACCAATAAGATCTCACTACATCTTCATCACTTGCAAACTTTGTTTTCGAATACACAGTTAAACCTTTGGCAAGAACAGCTTCCTTGATTGCCTTTTCAGTGCCCACAATATAGCGATGGTTGATTGGGGTTTTCTTTGTAACAACCTGAACCCAGGTCGGCATAGATACCACTCCCACTTTCATACTTAACAATGATCTCTTTCTTCATTTCTTATTGGAATTCCCCCCCCCCCTCACCTTATTGGGTAGGTTGGCACCTAGAAGCTTCTTGGGGCCATGGGACCACTTTATTTTCCAGAAAAAGCACCGAAAAACTGTAATACTACGAAATATTCCGATTGTATCTTTGGATGTTACGCGAGGCTGGCTGAAACAATGGCAACGGGCGCACATGTGAGGCTGGCTGAGGTCGCACATGTTACGCGTCCACGGACGAAAATCGTGAGTCGGTTTTTAAGCGGTATGCACGCAAAATTTTTGCGATTAAAGCAAGCGTTTATGCGGATTAAATCGCATGTGGATGCCATCGTTATCGGGGTCCCACTGTATAATCTTCCTTTCAACAACCAGCCGACCTCCACCGAGGCAGGGTGGCCCCAAAAAAGAAAACAAAGTTCTCTTTTTAAAATTGTAATATCTACAGGAGAAGGGGTTACTAGCCCCTTGCTCCCGGCATTTTAGTCACCTCTTACAACACGCATGGCTTATGGAGGAAGAATTCTGTTTCCACTTCCCCAAGAGGTAAGCGGAACTAACAAGAACAAGAACTAGAAAGAAAATAGCAGAAAACCCAGAGGGGTGTGTTGTATAAAGATGCATGTACATGTATGTGTATTGTGACCTAAGTGTAAGTAAAGTAGCAAAACGTGCCGGACATCATGCATGTTTATGAGACAGAAAAAAGGACACCAGCCAACCTACCAGCATGTAAAACAAATTACAGGCTTTCGTTTACACTCACTTGCAGGACAGAATACTCCCCTGGGTTGCTGTTTACCAACCTACTAACTTAGAATTATTATTATTATTAATCATATTATTACTAGTATAATAAATAATTTGTAATTTTTATTCACCGCAAATCTAAGTCTTAAACTGTTATTCCGTATTGCAATAAATAATGTCAAACCCATTTTCACGACTGCATTATTGGAATGGACAGTGACGTCATTTGTTTACTCTAAAAAACAGCCAAGCAATGGACCATTCTTCCTAGGTTGAACTCTTATTTCAAGGTGCTTTTTGTCGTGAAAGCAATTAAAATCATAATTTATTTACGTACATATCTTCCATCTATCATATGAAACCCAAAAAAAAACGAGATACAACCATAAAAAACCATTCGAAATTAAACGCTAAGGGGTGACTAATTGCTGAAAAAAAGTGAACTCCATTTATTTATGCTTAAGATTTCTATAATTTTTTGGTGTACGTTAAGAAGCAACATTCCATCCATACATTGCCCAAGTTTCAATAAGATAGTCCAACAAACAAAGAGATTCAATTCCGAGATCAAGACAAGAGCCCTGCCACCAGTGTCACGGAACCTGCTATGATCAGCTCGCTGGGAAATTTTGCTCATCGCATAATGAAGCCAAAATTGACCCATCGCCTGCTCAATATTTGGTAAAACTCGCACGTGACACGCTACCGCAGCATAAGAGGTTCCACTGTATAAACACCTAACCATCCACTTATGACCTGCCTCGACATAACGACCAACTCAACTTACGACCGTGTTTTTTTTATGCCAAATTTCTGTAAATAAACAACAATTTGTGTTGTACAACATGATTATCCTAAATCTTACGTATAAAATTACAGTACTACCAGCATAAAAAGTAAGTAAAACATGAACAAACCAAAATAAAAATAAATACAGTCATAACAAAAATGTTATGATTGATATTCATAGTAAGTTTTCGACATACGTCCATTCAACGTACGACCCGTTTTCTCAGAACTAAACTCGGTCGAAGTCGGATGAAGGTGAATACATATATATTTTTTTTTTATTTATTAACACACCGGCCAATTCACCACCAAGGCAGGTGGCCCAAAAAAGAAAAACTTTCAACATCATTTCACTCACACAGTCTTGCCAAGGGGTGCTTTATAACACTACAGTTATAAATTGCAACATTACCACCCCTCCTTCAGAGTGTAGACCACTGGGACTTCTTCCCTTTCAGACCCAAGTCCAATCCTGCCGGTTTCCCTGAATCCCTTCATAAATGATACTTACACACACTCCAACATGCACGACAAGTATTCCAAACCATTCGTCTCCATTCATTCCTATCCAATACTCTCATGCAACACTTGCTGGAAGTCCCAAGCCCCTCGCACACAAAACCTCCATTACCCCCTCCCTCCAACCCTTCCTAGGCCCAACTCCTACCCCGCCTTCCTCCACTACAGATTTATACACTCCTCGATTCAAACTGTTTTTGATCCATTCTCCTCTACATGACCGAACCACCTCAACAACACCTCCACAGGCCCTCTGGAATAATTGTTTTGGTAATCCCACACCTCCTAATTTCCGAATTACAAATTCTCTGCATTATATTCACACCACACATTGCCTTCAGACATGACATCTCCACTGCCTCCAGCCTTCTCCTCGTTGCAACATATGGGGTTGTAAAAGCGGATGCTAGGGTGTTAGGGAGGTGTGGGGGTTTAAAATATGCAGATTCTAATACAAAATGGGAGTTATTACAGTTGCTGTTTGTCAATGACACTGTGCTTTTGAGAGACTTTGAAGAGAAGTTGCAAAGGTTGGTGGATGAATTTGGGAGGATATGTAAAAGAAAACAGCACGGTGATGAGGGTAACAAATGAAGTAATGAAAGATTGGATATCAGATTGGAAGGAGAAAGTATGGAAGAAGTGAATGTGTTAAGATATTTGAGAGTGGACTTATTGGCAGATGGGTATATGAAAGATGAGGTGAACCATAGAATTGATGAGGGAAAAAAGGAGGTTGGTTCATTGAGGCATCTGTGGGAACAAAGAAAGGGGGTAATTTTTTAATCCATAGAGGCAAAAAGGGAAATGTGTGAGAGTATAGTTGTACAAAAACTTATATGGGCCTGAAGCATGGGTTGTGAATGTTGCAGCAAGGAGGAGGCTGGAGGCAGTTGAGATGTCATGTCTGAGGGTGTTTAAATATTATGCAGAGAATTCATAGCTTGGAGATTAGGAGGTGCAGGGTTACTAATAATAATATCCAGAGGGCTGAGGAGGGGTTGTTGAGGGGGTTTGGACATTTAGAGAAGTTGGAGCAAAATAGGATGACTTTGAGGGTGTATAAATCTATAATGAAGGGAAGGCAGGTTAGGGTTCACTCTAAGAAAGGTTGGAGGGAAGGGTTTGGTAAAGGAAGTTTTGTTTGCGAGGGGCTTGGACATCCAGCAGGCATGTGTGTTAGATAGGAGTGGAAGCAAATGGTTTTTGGAATTTGACAAGCTGTTGGAATGTGAGCAAGGTAACAATTTGTGAAGGGATTCGGGGAAACCAGTTAGCTGGACTTGAGTCCTGGAGGTGGAAAGTACAATGCCTGCACTCTGAAAGAGGGATGGGGATATTTGCAGTTTGGAGGGGCATCTCACTTGTAATATCAGTGTGCCTCTGGCAAGATAATGTTGGTGAAAGTGTTTTTTTCTTTTTTGGGCCATGCTACCTCAGTAGAAGACGGCAAGTGTTAAAAAAAAAATGCATTTTTACTTTCAGGTTACCAGTAGAGGAATTGAATGCCACCAAAAATCTGTGAGATGTGTAGCTGTTACTGCTTCTGGTAACCACCTGGTTACTGGGGGAGATGATGGTGTAGTCAAAGTATGGTCTGTTATTGCTGCTGATCTAACAACCATGGGAAATGCCAAAAACTCCCACATAGCATTGCAGAGAGTTGTGCATATGGGTCGTGGTCCAATTACAAACCTATCCATTATGCACACTGAAAGAGAGGTCAGTTTCAATCAGTTTTAAAAATCATGCTACATTAATAAAGTTAATACAGGTGTCCTCATTTTGTGCTACAGATGTGTTCCAGATCCTTGGCATCTGTACTGAGCTCAGTACAGATACTCATAATGAGACTGCATGAAGCAAGGGAGACCTGTATCATTGTTCATTGTTGTTCTATATTAAAACACATTAACCCCTTAACTGTCTAAACGTAGACCTACGTTCCTAACGCTAGCACTCCAAACATAGATCTACATTTTATTTTTCCTGCTCCAAATTTAGCACAATTGGCCTGAGGTGCCTGATCAGTATAGAATGGGTCTTAACACTCATTGTGCATAGTACAGTGGACCCCCAGTTAACGATATTTTTTCATTCCAGAAGTATGTTCAGGTGCCGGTACTGACCGAATTTGTTCCCATAAGGAATATTGTGAAGTAGATTAGTCCATTTCAGACCCCCAAACATACACGTACAAACACACTTACATAAATACACTTACATAATTGGTCGCATTGGGAGGTGATCGTTAAGCGGGGGTCCACTGTTTTAAAAAAAATCTGGGATCACTTAGTACCTTGTGGGAGCATCAGTTCAATTGAGCACCACCTAGAACAAACAGCGTGGCAAACACCAGGGATTCACTGATGTCATGTCGTATTAACACTTCCTTTTTAACCCGTAAACGGTCCAAACGTATATATACGTTTTTTCAACATTTGAAAGTATGTAAAAAAAGTAGATCTTCTTTTTGTTTTTTTACATTTTAAAATGTGTAAAAAACTTTGATCTACTTTTTTTTGTTGTTATATTTGAAAATATGTAAAAAAACGTAGATCTACTTTTGTACCACTACACATATGAACGTAGATCTGCTTGGACCGTTTACGGGTTAAGAGGAAAGTGATGGTGACCCTGAGTTTAGTGACTGAGATAGATGTGGCCACAAATGGTTGAGGAAATATCAAAAACCTCGATGATAACCCACGTGCAACATTTGTGCAACATCCTTTCAATTTTGATACCACTGGTAGTGTCAGCCTACCAGAATATCCTATAACCTATGCCCTAAATAAAGAGAAACAATTCTGGAATGTATATTATGTGTTCGGCAAGCCAGCTGGCTGGCCAGTGGGTGAGCGGGTGGTTGATTGACTTTGGCTGTCTCTATCTCCATCTGTCTGTATCTGTCTCTGTCTCGCAGGTACACATAAATACAGTTATTACATCTTTCTTTCAACGTACCAGCTGTATCCCACTGAGGTGGAGTGGCCCAAAAGGAAAAACAAAAGTTTCTCCTTTTAAATTTAGTAATATATACAGGAGAAGGGGTTACTAGCCCCTTGCTCCTGGCATCCAAGTTGCCTCCTACGACATGCATGGCTTACGGAGGAAGAATTCTGTTCCACTTTCCCATGGAGATAAGAGGAAATAAACAAGAACAAGAACTAGAAAGAAATAGAAGATAGCCCAGAGGGGTGTGTATATATATGCTTGTACACGTATGTGTAGTGTGACCTAAGTGTAAGTAGAAGTAGCAAGATGTACCTGAAATCTTGCATGTTATGAGACAGACAAAAGACACCAGCAATCCTACTATCATGTAAAACAATTTCAGGCTTTCATTTTACACTCACTTGGTGGGACGGTAGTACCTCCCTGGGCAGTTGCTGTTTACCAACCTACTACCTAGGAGTTATTATATATAACCCCAAAACTCCAAACAAAGTGCTGTACTGTGCTTGTTGATATAAGGCATAATAAGCATGACTAGCAAGCAATACATATTTTCACTTGTTTAAAAATCAAACTTGACAACTCTGCATCGTGTGTAATACTTATTGGTTCATGAGCAACTCTCTTTGACAGAAAGAGAGACAAGCAGACAGAGACAGAAAGACAGACAGATAGACATGTCTATGTGTAACAGTGAAAAATAAAGCCAAGGCAGTGGACGATAATCAAATGTCACTCCACTGCTACACTGTCAGCAGTGGAGTGATACTCGTCATATACTGTGCTTCAAGGACTATCATATATACTCCAGCGTGTCTAAAACATGGCTGTATATATTTCTAGACAATATTATGTGACCAAGGCAGGTGGAAATGTTCACCTGTCAGTGTGTTTGTGACTATTTGAGTACTATTTCAGTACCTAATATTATTGTCAGAACAAACATTGGCTATGAAATTGCAAGAACTACTACAAATTGTAATTATCAGATTATAATTTTTGTCTTTTGTATCACGTCAGCCATCTCCCACCGAGGCACGGTGACCCAAAAAGAAAAAAAACTTTCATCATCATTCAACACTTTCACTATCACTCATACATAATCACTGTCTTTGCAGAGGTGCTCAGATACGACAGTTTAGACTTCCCTCCAAACTGCCAATATCCCAAACCCTTCTTTTAAAGTGCAGGCATTGTACTACTTCCCATTTCCAGGACTCATATCCAGCTAACCAGTTTCCCTGAATCCCTTCACAAAATATTACCCTACTCACACTCCAACAGCTCGTCAGGCCCCAAGGCCCATTCGTCTCCATTCACTCTTATCTAACATGCTCACGCATGCTTGCTGGAAGTCCAAGCCCCTTACCAACAAAACCTCCTTTACCGACTCACGAAATCATAATGACAAGATTGCAAACAAACTATGCCATGGGAGGGGTTAGAACCCACAATCAGTGTCACAAAACTCTAGAGCCTCCCCTCCCTCCAACCTTTTGGGGATAACCCCTACCCTGCCTTTCTTCCCCAGCAGATTTATACGCTCTCCGAGTCATTCTGCTTTGTTCGATTCTCTCTGAATGATCAAACCACCTCAACAGCCCCTCTTCAGCCCTCTTGACTAATACTTTTAGTAACTCCACATCTCCTAATTTCCACACTTCAAATTCTTTGCATAATATTTACACCACACATTGCCCATGCTTCACACCCATATAAGAGTGTTTGTACCACTATACTATCGGACATTCCCTTCTTTGCCTCCATGGATAACGTTCTTTGTCTCCACAGATACCTCAATGCACCACTCACCTTTTTTCCTTCATCAGTTTTATGGTTAACCTCATCCTTCATAAACCCATCCACTGACAAGTCATCTCCCAAATATCTGCCCACATTCACTTCTTCAATAATCCCTCCAATGTGATATCCAATTTTTCTTTATCTAAATATAATTTGATACCCTCATCACCTTCTTTTATTTATATTAACTTTCAACTTTCTACCTTTACACACCCAAACCCGTCCACTAACCTTTGCAGCTTTTCTTTAGAATCCCCCAAAAGCTCAGTATCATCAGCAAAAAGCAACTGTGTCAACTCCCATTTGGTATTCGATTCTTCGTAATTTAATCCCACCCCTCTCCCCAACACCCTAGCATTTATTTCTTTTACAACCCCATCTATAAATATGTTAAACAACCATGGTGACATTACACATTCCGGTCTAAGTCTTACTTTTACTGGGAAGTAATCTCCTTCTCTCCTACACACCCTAACCTGAGCCTCACTATCCTCATAAAAACTCTTTTCAGCATTTAGTAACTTACTACCTATACCATACGCTTGCAACATATGCCACATTGCTTCCCTATCCACTCTTATTATATGCCTTTTCTAAATCCATAAATGCAATGAAAACTTCCCTACCTTTATCTAAATACTGTTCACATATTTTTTTTTTTTTTTTAACAAGTCGGCCGTCTCCCACTGATCTACACATCCCCTACTCATTCTAAAGCCTCCTTGTTCATCTGCAGTCCTGATCTCTGTCTTCTCTAATTATTTCAATAATAACCCTACCATACACTTTACCTGGTATACTCAGTAAACTTACTCCCCTATAATTTTTACAGTCTCTCTTGTCCCCCATCCGTTTATATAAAGGAACTATACATGCTCTCTGCCAATCCCTAGGTACCTTTCCCTCTTTCATACATTTATTAAACAAAAATACCAACCACTCCAACACTACATCACCACCTTCTTTTAACATTTCTGTCATGATCCCGTCAGTTCCAGTTACTTTACCCCTCTCATTCTACATAATGCCTTATGCACCTCCCCCACACTCACATCCTGCTCTTCTTCACTCCTAAAAAATGCTGTATCTCCCTGGCCAGTACATTAAATTACTGCCTGTCTTTCTTCATCAACATTTAAAAGCTCCTCAAAATATTCCTGCCATCTTCCCAATATTTCCAGCTCCCCATCTACTAACTCCCCTACTCTGTTTTTTAACTGACAATTCCACTCATTCCCTAGGCTTTCTTAACTTGTTTATCTCAAAAAAAATTTCTTATTCTCAGCAAGATTTGTTGAGAGTGCCTCACCCACTCTATCATTTGCTCTCCTTTTGCACTCTCACCACTCTTTCACCTTTCTTTAACCCTCCATATACTCTGCCCTTCTTATATTACTTCTGCTTTGTAAAAAACTCATAAGCGACCTTTTTCTCTTTTATCACCCCATTTACCTCATCATTCCACCAATCACTCCTCTTTCCTCCTGCACCCACCCAGATTCTAACACTGCATTTTTAAAACTATCCCACCCCTCTTCAACCCCCCCTTCATACCCATACGTGCACTAGCCCGCCTTTCTGCCAACAGCTGCTTGTATCTCGCCCTAACGTCCTCCTCCCTTAGTTTATAAACTTTTACCTCTCTTACTTGCTGCTGCCATTTTCCTTTTGTCCCATCTACCTCTTACAATTAACTGTATCTATTTATTTATTTATTTATTTATTTATTTAGTAATTTTAGCATACATACAGAGGTACAAAAAAATACAGGTAAGAGCAGCATGCCAAAGCCACTTATATGCATAGCATTACAGGCTGGCTTAAAATTAACTTAAGATTAACTAAGCAATGATGAAATCAGTGATAAAACATTATTGTAAACAGATAACTATAAAGCACAAATGAGTATTACAAAGACAGGTCATATGGTTGCATGCATTGCTGTACATTCAGTCGAATGGAGTATTCTGTTAGGTAGTGTATTTAAAAAAATAACA